GTTTATATATGAGAGATTATGACTTCCTTTCTCTTTTCATTGTCATGTTAACCATCTTAACCAATTTTTATTACATATACGATATCGTATGCACACAAGATCTTTAAATTTCTTTCCACGCTAAATGTTACTTTTAAAGTCTTAAAATTTGCGTCGGTACCAAAATTTTTTTGCTATTTCATGCATGATTGTGAAAAATCTATAAGTTTCATCAAGCAATACCAGTTATGCTTGTACCGCAATCGTGTCAAATAACGCATGTTTAGCTCTATACATAGATTTGAAACAGGTACGTTTTGAATCTTCTTATTCTATGCAGTAAAACGTGTTTTATTTTGTTCAGAATGGCTGACAACAATGAAAACTATGTGTGCTCTCAGTGGTCAGTTCAGGGTGATTGTGGTATAGCCACATGCTGACACATAATAAAAATTATATCATCTTCTGTGTGAATCCTGCGGCGTGACAGCTGGAACTTTCTGGTTTCATGTTTCAAAGGGTACCGTTTGTGGCGCTTACCTAGCGTGAGGTCCGGCTTTGGTTTTGACATGATCTATCAAAGTCATTACTCTGTATGTCAACTTCAATATACTTGGTTCTGAAGCAAACTGAAATTACTATTAACAAATTATGACAAAGCCAAAAGCAGCATTGGGGTCACTTTGGCGTTACTCACTGCGCATGCGCAAGATTATTTTGGATTATAGTTTGAATGGCATTACGCAATCTATTGTTGGTTAGATACGTAATCAAGTAGTGTGTATTATATAATTAATCTTATTAGACACGTTTTATAACAAGGCTTTTACAACACTTGCTACTTTATGCAGGTACAAAATGATGGTTTTTCCCGAGAGAGGATTGAGTCATAGTACCTAGCCTTCAACACAAGCTTGAATGAGGACAAACCCGTCTTTGTCCTTGAGTTTCAGTGTGAGCGATGGCGTATGTAGTGGATTTGACGCAAATCTATCTTTATGTTTTGACGGTAGTTCACCGTCCGGATGACCCGGTTTTTCTGGAGGAATCAATTTCCTTAGCAAGCAAGGCTCAATACCAAAGCGTGAGGCATTGTTTGTCCCTGTTTTTGTAGTCATGTCAATGTCAACGGCAACAGATGATCTCGCTTTCAATATTTTATTGTGTTTCTTTGATGATTCAGAGTAAACTGCAGGGACTATGTGTGTATGTGTTAGCATCAAGGATTAACAGGCCAGGCTAGTCAAATTGTCAAAGGTTTTTGTCCGCCCTATGATTCTCATGAGAGGGTTTTCGTCCGACCTGTCATTTTTGGACGGGAAAGTTTATGTCCGGGAGGGCTTTTACCCGTTTCCATATTAAATATTGGAGAGCTTCTTTAGCAAATTTCAGTATATTGTACTGGTTTATTTCAAACATTCGATGTTAGAGTCATTTATCTGAAAAATTTACTTATTTCAGCAATCAGTTGGTCACGGCATAAAGCATATATAATTTTAAGGATTGGTCTAATTTTGAACATTTTCCATCAGTTTTTCAAATATTGATAAAAACAATCAAACTGTATCATTGGATATGCTTTTCTTGAAAATTGATTTAAAGTGAAAATTTACATGATGAAAAATAATTCTAAGTTCTAGAACAATTTATATTTTCTGTAATGTTAGCATGTAACTAGAACTTATCAACACCGTCCATATGAATTACAATTTTTTATTGGTTTGTTGTCACTAATTATACAAAATACAATCAACATGATTATCTTATCTGTCGTATTACATACCAAGAATTATGGTCATATTTTTTCGAAAGAACAATAAAGTACAAACATTTAAATCAATATTAAACAAATATTTAGCATGATTACTTTTATTATTTGTGACATGTTTTACAACAAAATTTACATCTTTTTTTCTTTAGCCTGAAATATTAAAAGAAATGCAATATATCAGTGTTCAATGTGTAGTAAAACAGAAAGATATATTAAACACGGATGATATCCGCGTAGATGATAAGTTATCTTAGAATTCAACGTTTTGGACGAATGGGAAGCAATTGTTTCTTTATAAGAAAGATAATTTGTATAGCAAAGACATAAGAAACATTAACAGACTGTTGTTAAAACAATTAATACAAATATATATGATAACAACATTGATCAATTATACACACTTTTCAATTTTGGAAAGACAAAAATATTAATAGGTAACTGAACTTTTGTTTAAAACCACCAACGTACCAATTATTTCAGACACTTCGTGGATTGATGTACAGTTGTCATTACAGAAATCAGAATGACAACAGCGCGAGCAGACGGGGGCGTGACGAGCTGACATTTCATTGGTTGACCTCTTCTTTAAACATGTCTGCATTTAAAATTTCACATTTAAATATATTCTCAATATTCTCAAATATTTCATTTGTGTTTTTTCAAAAAATGGCAGGAGGAACATAAATATAACTTGAAATATTGGTGACTATATTTAGCACATATTAGATATAATAGTTTATAGCAAAATTCTAATATATCTTTAAAAACAAGAATGACATAGGGGGAAGCCAGCCAACGGGATGTTCTTTGTTGGAATCTTAAAGTGCTGAGTTTGCTCACCAAAAGTGATTGGTTATTTAGTTCAAGAAACAGATCGGTCACTTTCGACTTTAAATGAAATATATTGGAAAAGCTGTACGTCATCTATCTTATTAAATTTATTGGTTTCTACACGCATAATTTCTGTACACACACTTTCTTTCTAAACTAACTTTAACGAACGTCTGCGCTTTGAGGATATACATATAGTAATAACAATGTTTCCTGGAACTATAACGTATGTTACCTTTAAATATAACGTATGTTATCTGAAACTATAACGTATGTTACCTGTATCTATAACGTATGTTATCTGAAACGAAACTACATGTTTTCTATAAATATAACATAATATCTAACCTATAACTATAACGTATGTTACCGGTAACTATAACGTATGTTATCTGAAAGTATAATGTATGTTATCTGTAATTATAACGTATGTTACCTATAACTATAACGTATGTTACCTGTAACTATAACGTATGTTACCTGAAGCTATAAAGTATAATACCTGAGAGTCTGCACACGCTCTGATATAGTGAGAGTCACTGTCACCCCACTCGTACTTCTCTATCATGCAAACCTGTTATATATTTGTATGTTTGTTTATCATTAAACATGCAAAGCTTAGTAAAATATAAATATTTGTGAAACGACTTGTTTCACTCTATATTTCTGTCTCTAATGAACACCTTTTACAATGCAACGGAATTTGCGAGTTTCAAATTATTACTGAAATGTTTCAGTGCTGTTATTTCATCAAACCTGTTTCTAGAATGTTGTGTCACCTGACTTTAAACCAATCATGATATAGCACAGGCTGAGTATTTCCCAGTGTTACTTAAATGAACGTGCACCAAACTCAATGTTACATCACTAACGATAGATAGAAATTACAGTGTAAGTAAACACTATTTGAACACTATTTGATAACTTACAATTACGGGTTTTGATAGCATGCTATAGTGCTAGTATATTGTAAATAAAAGTCAAAAACCTGTTGTTGTTTTTTTATTAATCACATCATATTTTAAACTAAAGAGATGCTCTTAAATACAAGATAGATTATTTTAAAAATAGATTGAAAAGTATGAATATTTTATCATTTGTAACTGATTTTCAATGAATGAAGTATAATCCGTTCGAACAGGCTTGATATTCTATTTACATGCTGTATTTTAAAATATTAATATACATTTAAAAACAGATACTATGAATCCATGACATGTTTAATTCAGATATTACTGCCAATATGAACTAAAGATTTGTTAAAGTTAAAAATACTTTATAGACAACAGTCATCATTCATTGTTTGGAAAATATGATTAATTCACACATTATTCCTTGTGAGAGAAGATAAAAAGAAGTTAATTACTAACCTGGTTTGATCGGCACAACTGTACTGTGTTACACGTCTCACTGTCTCCTAAATGAGTACAGTCAAAACAAATTGGACCTCTTTGTCCTCGTGCTGGGAAACCTATAGTCAAAAATTAAACACGTTAAGTGTACTCTACAAGCAGAATTATATTAACTATAAAAATTTTTACCCTGATACAAAAACAAAGTTGACGAACATTGTGTTACCAGATAATTTACAAGTTCACAATATGTAAGTGTTATGTCTTTTTCTTAGAATATATATTTTTCATATACGATTCATATTCCTCCAAACTTACATATTAACTGACTGACTGACTGACTGACTGACTGACTAACTAACTGATCCTCAAAGTCAATGAAAATGCCTCAAAGTTTTACAAATAAGAGTTATTTTCAAACATTAATATTAAACAATATATTTTGCTGTAATAAGTATCATTATTAGCCATTTCCCTTAGATGCACTTTTATTGTTTTACCATTGCTTACATATGAACAAACTGGTTTTTATATGCAAAATATTTCTTTATATATTCTTTTAATATTATTTATGCATATTCTTTTTTTTAAAAATATTCTTAAAAAATAGGATTGGAATGGAAAACAAATGTGTTATGAAATTCTTCTCCTTAAATATGTCAAACTACATTTATGACCAGAGACTCTAACAATGAATGTTAAATTATGAAGAAAAAAAAATAACACAACAGAAACACATTCGTTCTTTTTAAAAGTCTTAATAAATGTTTTTTATCCGCAAAAATATATTAAAGTGAAAGCATCGTCTATGTATGAATTAATGTTATATCTTTACAATTATTTAATCTCTCTAATCTGGCATTCTTACAACATAAAACTGTTGTTTAACAATAAACAATTCGCAACATTTCCACATATATATATGTCTATTAAGCTCCATGGTATTTCCTATTGTCATCATATGACCGACAAACAAAACATATAAAACCAAACCAATTACATTTTTAAACATGTTATTGTATATCATATTTCAACATTTGACATTCTAGATGAATTATTTATCTTACCATCATCGCCACATCCAATGGTGTTACAGAAATTTCCGTTACAACATTTGGTACATCCACCATTTCCATCACTCACGTTACATTGCTGTGAAACACATTATAGATACAACAATTTGCATCGTGTTCAAATATTCTTACAATTAAAAACACCACCCATTTTGCATTCGATTTAAAAACCTTTAAACTGATGCATAAGAAGTCACTAAATTTTGCGAAATTATAACTTTTCTTTCATTTGATGCTTGAATGTATGATAGATAAGGTTTATTATATCATTAAAACATGACTATAAAGAAATACCAAATAGCTTTGAATAATAAAAAAATATTACCTTGGGGTGTACACAACCAGACCTGTACAGACGGACATGAAGGCTTCGTGTGTAGCTTTGGACATAACAAACCTTAAATATATATATTATTCTATATTTGAAGCACAGTATACATCAAATTCAAGTACATACATTAAATTACTACGTAAAATGAGTTCTTATTTCGTATTTCTACTGACCGCTATGACAGTATGGAACAAAAATGACAACCTTAAAGCAAAGGATAACAGAGCGCTTTTGTTGGCTATGAAAGCTTAAAAGCTTGTATAATGAAACCAATAATTCCTACCCCCATGACAGAAAAAGATTGCATTTATGCTGCTGCTGTTGTAATTTTCTTTCTGTATGTTTGTCTGGATATTTATTTCACTTTCTGTCTGAGAACAACTTTGGTTATAATATCATAAACCTACTACTATACATGTATATGTTAAAGGTTTCTTTATACCAACTCAACGTTTCACAGTATCTTGCTATTCAATTTTATGGATTTTGAAATGTTAGTAACTTAGGATAACTAGGATAACTGATAAAAATTGAGAATAAAAGATGAAACGTTTTTATTTCTGAGTACTAAAATTTATAAAAGCTTGTATGTCCCTGTATCCTTTCTTATCATAGAAACCAGATTACCTCAGCTTCATCCAGGCATTTTGAAACTTCGTCGCAATACTTCAGATGTGCCATGCCGTCACATTGAAAACACCATTTTCCATTTCCTTTAGATTTAATGGAAATTGTTTATGGCTAAGTAAAGGCAATCAAATTTTAGTTATTTTACAATTGTTGATAACAAAACAATTTGATATCCTTCATAAGAAATATGAAGTCCATAATGTTTCTTCGTATCTTAAACCAAACAACTAGTCTATATAATCCGGACGGCCGCAAGACAAGATTTTTAAAAACGCCTAGGCAAACACCACAATTGAACTTGTCTGGCAATTTCGTTATTAAACACGATTTTGGTTCATATAGGAAAAGCTAAAGTATAAATATAACATCTTTAATGTTTAGATAGGTGCATAAGACACAATACCCCATTTGTATTGACATTCTCTACACAATAAAGATAGAAAATAAGCTCACCGTTTTGAATAGTTTGTGTTGAGTAATAAGGTTGAGCAGTTGAGAAAGAACTAGTCGTCAAGGGATTCTGAACAGTACATTCTGACGAAAAAAACAGTAAAAATATAGTGTAGAAAACAAATGATAGATATTTCTTTACTCAAATGTGTATAATGTATTACATGACAAGAAAATTTAATCTTATACTATAACTGTTCCATTTAATTGAACGATAAACATCTTTTTTTTACATTATTGAGAACTTAAATCAACAAAAGCGTTTGGCATGAGAAAAGAATTCCCTGACCTACAAAAACCCAAGCGTCACGATTGTTTTATTTGAATAATAAGAATTAATCAAAAACTCTGAAATTGCATAAAGCGTATTGGAAATAAAAGAAAAAAAATAAGCATGTTTTGTTCATTATAATGATTGTTTTATTATGATGGATACATAAATGTTATATGATAAATATGTATACTGTTACATTGACCTGAAAATAATGATAATACCATTTGAATTCAGTAAAAGTTGAAGAGGATATCCATATGCTAAAGCAGGTCCGGGACGTCCGTATATAACGGCCCCAAATTTCAATCCTCCACTGTGGTGTAAATGATAGTACGTGTTATATGTAATGTTGACGAATAAAGTTACATATTCATCCATTGGTGAAGAAACATTTACTCTCTTTGCGTTAAAATACGACATAGAATGACCATTTAGAATAAGTCCGCTCACATTATTTTTGTTTATTGTTACAGCTATAGTATTGCTTGAATCATAATAATTTTGAGAAACAAATTTATAAGAGTGCACATATTGTAGGATGCCTTGAGCAGATGACATGTAAGGGTCACCATACATATTATCTCCATCATACCCATATTGCATGACACTAATAGGTTTGTTTGCAATGACAACAACAGGGTCAGTTGTAAACAATGTCTCCTCCATTGATCCTTTAGTCAAATTTACAGCATAATGATTCGTGCTGTTGTAATACTGTATTTCCGTATTGTCATGATCAGCAAAAAATCGTAGGACGAAATATAGACGTGGATATATAGGTGGAACTATAAACTTTGTAGTCCAATATTTTGTTGGGATCATCTGTTCAGTTAGGTATTGATAATCTCCTATTCCGGGTGGGATTTTTGCAGATGCTGTCCCTGAGATCACAGCAACTGGTTTGGAAGAAATAACGACACTTCCACTGGTATCATTATTCGCTTTGAACTGGTAACTTTCGAACTTTTGTAATTGGAATGTTGTATTAGAACCTCGATGACCATCAAGCATTGTATATAGAGAAACACTAGTTTTGTTTTCAATCCCAACAACTAAAATTTCACTGCTATATACTTTGTATGGTTTGTATGATAAAGTAACATAGTGTGTGCCAAGAGCGGTCAATGGTAAAGCAAGAAGCCCTTCTGTTTCGTCACCGCTAGGAATAACGACATGTACTGATACATTCACATCAGAAATAACTTCAATTCCTTTAAATTGTTTTCCTTTTTCAAACTGAATTTGAGATGCATTGATAGAAGTAATGGTAAAATTTGAAACGTTTAAGGTTTTATTCAAATTTGAAAACGGTGCAGTTATCTGGACGTGCGCTTGTACTTGTTCAGTAGGAGTGATGTGTAAGCGTAAATATGGTCCAGAGGTACTGCGGACAAAACCGATGGCACCAAAAACAAATTGTCTTCCAACAGAAGCTGAAATTTATGTAGTTTGACATGTATGTGATATTCATTTTAATTGTGATACAACAAGTGAATATATTTTGAAATTAAAACGAAGGATGCCTCTGTTTTTTTTTCTAGAAATATTAAATCTAAGAATTAGCTCGTCACGGAATATTGTTTCTTCTTCAGCTTTCAACATAATTATGTCGTAACTAATTTGATAAAAGAAATAAAAAAGATACACGTGCTTAGTCAATTATTATTTAAGTGCGGCGGGCTTTATTTCTATAATTAGATATATTTGCGAAGATTTACGCAGGGCATCTTTAATTAAATTTTAAGATTAGGATATTTTTGCTTTAGCAAATCAAACCTACTTACATGCGCTGCATTGCTGGCTTGTTGAATTAGCACATTTCGCCATCTGTAAATGTATCGAATGTATGTAAGTAATTGGCTAATGTAGTTTGAAATTGATATAAAGTCAGAACTGTATCGACCTTTTATTGTATCTATAACACAAGAACCATTGATATCTGTTTTGGTTTTTTTAAAAATCGAATAACATGAAAACAAAGTTCATACAGTGCAAAAAAAAAGATATGAAAGTAAATCAAAGCAAAATATATCTTTTTTACAACAGCCAACACATTTTCATGCATTTTTTAAAGAGACCCCAATATCGTAGTGTAATCTATCAGTCCGAATGAACACTTAATGTGGATCTTTTAATCAGGTGACAATGCCGTTTATAGGTATAGAAAATATCTCAGAGTATACTAGTGACTCCTTGAAGTTACGTCATGTGCAAGACACGATGGTTATGAAAAATAGGAAGTAGTGACCAAGTTTATACAGTGCATACATACATGTAGCATTGTCTCTAATTCCTACATTATACAGTACTGTTAACTTTATGAAAAAAGAACATGTTGCTAGAAAAGGCATGGTACACGCAACTGTTGAAAACATGTGTTCATTGAAAAGAAAATGTTTTTAAATGGACATTGCTGTGTCCAAAATACATCATTGACCTCGATCACGTGACATCCTGTAATATGCTATGTACATGATTCAATGTTGGAACCACATTCGACATAGGGACATTAATATCTTATCATCGAATGTCAAAAGGTGTCTGGATGATTACGACTAAGTTTATTACGCTTTAATCGTTGAAATGATGTTCAACGAATTCCATGGTCTAGTTGAATTAAATAATCATAAACTAAAATGAGTTTTACATTACCATTACTTATAATCAGTAAGAGCGAAATATAGGCCTACACAAAATAAGGTATATTTGCAAAATTTGCTTACCTTGAAATTAACAAAGTTGTACAACCTAGCAATTCCGTTAAAAGCATACCGGTATCATATTGTTTAATAACGTACCAATATCAAAAAGAAACAAAGAATCCCCTTCATCGTTTTCCGTCCCTCTTTTAGTTCTTCATGGAATAATTTAAACAATTCAACTGTAAAGGGCAATATTTTATACCGGTACCAATAAACGCAATTACGTCAACTGATTCTATCATGTGCTGGTCCTTATTAATGTACTATATTAATTTATTTCATAACATAAACCAAATGAACTTCTACGTAGAAAACCTTTGCTTCTCTTTGGTCTAAACCTTATCAATTAAACTACACCATTTGTAATCGTTTATTTTAACGTTGATATTACATATTGTAAGACAGTTTTCCCTCCCCTTGAACTCATTCGTATGTGACCGCCCATACCACATTTGCATTCCCACGTGCATATTGCATGACACTGATAGGTTTGTTTGCTATAACAACAACAGGGTCAGTTGTAAACAATATCTCCTCCATTGATCCTTTAGTCAAATTAACAGCATAATGTTTCGTGTTGTTGTAATACTGTATTTCCGTATTGTCATGATCAATGAAAAAACGTAGGACGAAATATAGACGTGTATATATAGGTGGAATTATAAACTTTGTAGTCCAATATTTTGTTGGGATCATCTGTTCAGTAAGGTATTCATAACTTCCTATTCGCAAGTAAGACATTAGACCCCTTGACTTCTCGACCCCTTATGATATTAAGATGACTTCTAGAACCCTTGACACTTAGACCCCTTTTTACATGACTTTTTAACCCCTGCTAGGTAAGACATTTCGACCCCTATTTCAATTTTTGTACTCACAGAAACATTGGAAAATGATTTAAAATCAAATAGCAAATATTTTAATTATTTTCATAAAAGTATCCGATAAAATATTGAAAACTTAAGGTAAAGCAATTATTTATCATTATCTTTTTTTATTCGTTTAATGTTATGTAACATAGAATTGTAGGATGGCTACATCTCAGTTATGATATATAATTTTGTTAATATAAAAAGCTTGGGCATGATAAATCAAATTAGACCCCTGACTAAAACTGAAGGAATCATGATAATGATAATAATGAAAATGCGCGATCTGTGGCGCGATGTGTGCATTGCGGTTTAATTTTTATCTACACGTTTGTAAAGATTTAGCTTATTTTTCTGACAAACACATGGATGTTTATATTGGCGGTGAATTATGTGACATTTCTGCTTTATTTATGTTATATGCCAAAGTAGCGATAATCTCATTTTTATGGTATTTACATTATGAATAAATTAAGAAACAAAATACCAATCAATCAATAAATGGCAGCGGACATACATGATACGAGCATGAGCATTGATATATCGATATCATGTATGTAATACCATTATATTAAAATGTATCTAACACAAATGTCATATGAAAAATTAATGAAGACGGAAAAGTAAAGAGCAAAAAGACAACACATGTTGATTCGATACCCTTTAACAGTTTTATGTCAGGAAAGAGCATTAAAATATTGGATAAAAACAAAGAAACAATCTATACCACAATTGTTTAGTATATATAGTGATCAATTAAGTACATAATTTTAGAGGACCTTCATGGGCTAAAAGAATTCACAATATAATTAATAACTTAAGGTTATTTTTTAATTGTATAGAGAATTTTGAGAATAATTGTAACTATATTGTGTTATTCAAACAGCGTTTGAGAGATCAATTTGTCCAGAAATGGCAGGACTCGATTGAATTAATGCCAAAATTCTCGATTACTATAGAATGTATAAAAATGATTTTTGTTTTGAAGAGTATCTTAATTGTGTAGAAAATAGTAAATTAAGAAGACAACTTTCAATTTTTAGGTTAAGGTCTCATACATCAGAAATTGCAACTGGAAGATATATTTGGGGCTGAAAGAAATGCGAAATTATGTAAATTTTGTTCTCAGCTAGCTGTTGAATCGGAGTATCATTTTCTTCTATGCTGTCCATTATTTTGAGATTAAAGAATCAAATACAAATTGCCATACTCATTTCCAAATCTAAATAAATTTTCTAGAGTAATAAAAAAATTGAAAAGAAAAAACTTATATCATTAAAGCTTATTCTTAAGAGATGCATTTGTTAGAAGAAAGGAACAATTACAATAAAATTTTAAAAAATCTTAGATCTTTGCATTGATTGGTATTAAATTGTCGATATACCTAAAATAATCCAAACACAATTTAATGCGTTATTATGTATAACATTTATTCAATGTATGTTTGCTTTTGTTTTATTTATTATTGTGTGTTTGCCATATGTATATTTATGTTTGTAACGCCAAAGGCAGTTATCTGCCGAATTGCAAATAAAATTTGGACTTGAAATAAATTATTCAGTTTATCTATTAGATTATATATAATAATCAAACTTGTAAACACATTTACATTTTTTCTTTATTTACGTCTTCATGCACATTATTTTTTCGAAGTTACCTTATAAAAGTACATTATAGAATAAGGGATCGAAATGTCCAGTCAATTTAAAGAGTCTAAGTGTCTTAGGAGTCGTGGGTCGAGATGTCTTAGTGGTCGAGGTGTCAACGGGTTGAGAGGTCATAGACTCTCCTATTCCGACGGCGACTTCTGCATATGCTGACATTGAGATGGCAGCAACTGCTTTGGAAGAAACAACGACAATTCCACTTATATCACATTTCGCTTTGAACTGATAATTCTCGAATTTTTACAAATGAAATGTTATATTAGAACATTGGTAGCCATTAAGCAGTGTATATATAGAAACACGTGTTTCGCTCTCAATTCCAACAACTAGAATTTCACTGTTGTATCTATTGTACGATGTGTATGATTAAGCAACATAATGTGTACCAAGAGTGGTCAATGGTAAAGCAAAAAACGCTTCTAGTCGGTTATCGGTAGCAGTAACGACATGTACAGGTATATTTTAATCAGAAATGACTCCAATTCCTTTAAATTGTTTGCCCTTTTCAACGTTACTGAATTCGAATTATATTTATATGAAAAATAGTAAAATTTGAAACGCTTATGTTTCCATCGAAATGTGAAAACGGTGCGGTTATCTGGAAGTGTGTTTGTATTAGTTCAGTAGGAGTAATGTGTGAATTTGAACAATTTGTCAAGGAAGCTCAAACCGATGGCACCAAGAACAAACTTTCTTCCAACAGAAGCTGAAATTTAAATATTTTAACATTTACATATATTTTATATCTATTTTAACGTTGTTTTTCAAAGACACCTTCGAAAGTTCAAACATGAAAACAAATTCTGGCACTTCCATATAATGAACCGTATTTGTCACTAACATAATACGGATTTTTTATCCATTGAAGCGTATTTGCGGTTCAAGATTTGCGTGTATTTTAGGGAGAAAATTATTAGCTATATAATAAAAATGAATATTTTAAAATTTAAAGAAAGGATACCTCTATTTTTTCTAGATATATAACATCTAAGAATTAGCTTGTCAACATCTACTTAAATGAGTTCTTCGACTGGCAACATGTCTTGTAACTAATTTGATAAATGAAAGTTTAAAAAAACTGGACATGCTGATTAAAAATAATACAAGTAGTGCGGCAAATTATATTTGTATAACTAGATATATTTGCATAAAGACATCTTAAATGTAAATTTTGAAATTAAGATATTTTGGTGTAGCAAATCAGTATACAACATACTTACATTCCCTGCATTTCTGGCTTGTTGAAGTTGTACCTTTAGCAATTTATAAATGTATCAAAGCTAAATAATGTGGGATAGTGGCCAAAGTCTCTCAGTCTGAATGAGCTTTTAGCCTCATGTCAAAGCACATAGTTCAAGTAGGTTACTCATGTGCAGGGTTCCACGGTAATAAAACATAGTGACCGGCCAGTATACGCGTCTTGTCCTTTCAAAGATATGTCTCTCTTTCCTTCCTTAAAAAAATAACCTTATATAGAATAATACATATCGACGGAAAAGGCACGGCACGCATCTGCTAAAATCATTTGTTTGCAGTATAAGTCAAACTTTTTAAATTCTGCTGATTTCACATGGAAAAACTGGACAAATGCGCATAGTGGTGTCCAATGTACGTAATTAAACTCATTCACGTAACATCCTTTATTTTGCAATGTATATGATTAAATGATGGACCACGTCCAATACTTACTTGTCATAATTGTGCAATTGTGTTTAATTACGCTATGACCATTGCAGGATATCAGAACAAATATGTGTGAATGTTAAATACAAAAGACAATGACATTAACAAAATCGCATTAAGGCGTGTACATTTTACAAAATACTGAGCATAACCTGAGGGGGTTTGTAAAAAATACTACATCTTTACAATGCTTGTGTTTCAATGATCAAGTACAAATCATGGGCCTACACAAAATGTGCTAAGTACGGAAGCATGGAGAGGACATAGTCGATTTATTTTAATAATCTGTGGGAACAACTTATTTGTCGAAATATTTTTATTAATCTGTGGGAACAACATGTTTTGTGAGAAAAATCTTTTTTTATTCTGTGGGAACAACATATTTTGTGAGAAAAATCTTTTTTTATTCTGTGGGAACAACATATTTTGTGAGAAAAATCTTTTTTTATTCTGTGGGAACAACTTAATTTGAGTAAAAAAAAAATTTTATTCTGTGGGAACAACATATTTTGTGAGAAAAATCTTTTTTTATTCTGTGGGAACAACTTAATTTGAGTAAAAAAAAAAATTTTATTCTGTGGGAACAACTTATTTTGTGAGAAAAATCTTTTTTTTACTCTGTGGGAACAAACTATTTTCTGCGATATTTTTTCAATATCTTGTTCCCTCAAGATAATAAGTTGTGCGAACAAATTAATTATGTTGTTCCCACAACATAATTCAACCAATCAAAATAGCGATTGCCACAAAGAGTGACTGCAAAGTTAAGTCCCTTTTTAAAAAGTCGCCATTTGCACACAATTCATACTTCAAACCCATTTCAAAATACTGTTTAATTAAAATATCTCTATCCATTTTTCTGAGAACAAGATGCATGAATTTGATTGGTTGAATTATGTTGTGGGAACAACATAATTAATTTGTTCGCACAACTTATTATCTTGAGGGAACAAGATATTGAAAAAAATATAGCAGAAAATAAGTTGTTCCTACAGATTAAAAAAAGATTTTTCTCACAAAATATGTTGTTCCCACAGAATAAAAAAAGATTTTTCTCACAAAATATGTTGTTCCCACAGAATAAAAAAAGATTTTTCTCACAAAATATGTTGTTCCCACAGAATAAAAAAAGATTTTTCTCACAAAACATGTTGTTCCCACAGATTAATAAAAAATATTTCGACAAATAAGTTGTTCCCACAGATTATTTAAAT